TTTATCCTAGAGTACCTCTAACGCCATGAGGCCTATTGTGGAAAGATTGCATCAAAATAGGTGAAGTAAAAAGGGTGAAAAAGGGCACAGAACTGGCAACACAGAGGTCAAAACCTTGATATGAACTCATGCTGTGCATCTGGAAGAGGGAAAATAGGTAACAGGTAAATAGGACACGTAAGAAAAACGGCAAAAAAGCTTTTTCTGTTGCACTTCTGCTGTTCACTGTAGCCACAGTACAGTAAATGTAAGAGGAGGCAAAAGAAAGTACCGAGGAAAAAAAAGAGAAGGAGCAATCAATAGCAGAGTAAGAGTGCTAGAGAGATGATGGGTGCAGAAAATAAAAGGGAGAAGTGTAATAGCATGGTCACAGTAAACATAGCTCAGACCCTGAGCGAACATGAGGAGTTGCTTTTGATGACTCGAGGAGAGGAAAAAGAGAAAGAAGCCATGACAAAAGAAAAAGAAATTCAACCACAAAACCACACTGATCACAATCTATCTCTAAGCTGGTACATGCAGTTTGTATTAGCACAGTCTAATTTGTTATGTGGTGATATATGAAAGTTTCAGTACAACACCCGAACTGTCATTTAATTTCATTTTTAATAAAGCAAATTTTACTTTCTAGTGTAATATCAAGTCTGTTTTGTATCTCACTAATTAGGGCTGCCCCCATGAATCTGATAATGTGAATCATTTGTCAGAGAGCCCCTGTTATATCGTGAGATATTTGTGTTTCTTCCCCTCCACAAAGAAACACACTAAAAAGGCTTCAGCGACAAAGGTTTACAAATTTGGTTCATGCTGTAAAATAATCTTAATGTGCCAAATATAGACTCTGGATACACTTATGCAGAAGCATCGTACAAAGCAACCCATCCCAACAGTTTTCCAAAGGAGACTGTACACAGGGCTTTTAGATTTATGAATGTTTTTCTAACCCTGCCTTTGAGGAAGACAGCTTCTGTATGCTATGAGAGACTTGTGCTAGAAATGCTGCTTGTCTTCTTGAGTTATGTCCTCCTTAGCCTTGAGAGTGCGAAAACACACTTTTAAATCACAAAAATCATGGAGGGCTTTGAAAAAACTTGCACCAGTTTGGCAAAAAATGCTTCTTTGAAGTATGAAGACGGCTCTTATGTGAGAATTTATTTAGCGACATAGAGCACGGTCACCCTAACAGGGCCAATATGTCACCCTCTGTGAAACCACACAGTAAAAACACCCTACCTTCAAGTCTCTGTCCAATTTAGTTATGCCCTCTAAAGTGGTGACCAGCTTCACTTCATAAGTGAGGAGGAAAAGAGGCTCAAAGCAAACCTAAAAGAAATCTGCCCCTAAGTGGCCCATTACAGCAGAAGCTGCTCTGTATTCAAGTACAATACCTCAACAGAAGTCTTAGATGTAGGAGCATGATGTAAGATGTAACATAGCTTATTTCAAAATGTACTCAAGAAGCATATTAACGAATGACTTCAAACACAAAACAATCTTTCATTTATTCATTCATTTATTTTCCGTAACCACTTATCCTCTTGAGGGTCGTGGGGGGGCTGGAGCCTATCCCAGCTGACATTAGGCGAGAGGCAGCGTACACCCTGCACAGGTCACTAGACTATCACAGGGCTGACACATAGAGACAGACAACCATTCACACTCACATTCACACCTACGGTCAATTTAGAGTCACCAGTTAACCTGCATGTCTTTGGACTGTGGGAGGAAGCCGGAGTACCCAGAGGAAACCCACCACCCTGGGTCCGAACCATGAACCCTCTTGCTGTGAGGTGACAATGCTGACCTCCAAAAGGTCAAAGACTCCCGCCATTTACCAATCCACGCTGACATCTTCAACCCACCACCTGCTCGTCTCCGATCTAGACGTCCAATTTGGAAGGACCCCCCACCCACTGACTTTGATTCCCTGGGAATCTAAAGACATCCTAAACAAACATCTAGCATCAGACCCGACTCAACCAGTCCCTGGCACCAACCTCCCAAGGAGACAGTGGTCCACCTTGAACAGATTTAGGACTGGTCAAGGTCCCTGCTTGGCCAGCCTTCACAGATGGGGGAGCAGCCTGAGCCCACTGTGTGCTTGTGGAGAGGAGCAAACCATGGAGCATATTATTGAAGCCTGCCCTCTCCAAAGACTAAAAGGAGGTCTAGTCTCCCTCCACAATATAGATCAAGAGGCTACTGCTTGGCTTGAGAAATTTGCATTCGCTAAATAATAACTGCACCACCGTGCCACCTTCAATAAAAATTATCTTTGTATATCAATTACTCACCCCATGTTATGTTAAACACATGAAAAAACCTTTGGTTTTCTCGCATGGTGAACGAAGAATCCAAAAACTGAAGAAATTCTTTATGAATTGGAGTAAAAAGGGGCCGTGTTTAGCAACAGCAAAACTATACCAAACCATCAGTTTACAAACCGTCACACAACTCACACAAACATCCATTTTTGCTGAAAACTTTATTATTTAAATCACTACTGCATTAATAGAAGAAGAAAATTAATCCCAGAGGGGAATTTTTTTCACTCAGGCTGGAAATACACACACATGCACAAAGAGGACTAATACATGCATTACATGGAAAGATGTCGGAGCAAGCAGCTGCCCATGGACAGGCATCCTCAAGCAGATGGAGGTTCGTACCTTGCTCAGGGGCACCTCGGCATTGCCCAGGAGGCGAACTGGTACCTCTTCAGCTGCCAGCCCCCACTCCCTGTTTGGTCTGGACAGGTACTTGAACTGGCGACCCCCTTGGGTTCCCAACCCAAGTTCATATGGACTGAGCTACTGCCGCCCCAAGTAGTCTAATGCATGGACAAATAGCATGCCTGTCTTTGACCTCAGCTCAGTGGAATGGGCGAGCAGAGTTCAAACGTACGCATCCACGCTACTCGCATCGAAAGTGTTTTAAATAGTAAGATTTTGGCAAGAATGCATGTGTGTGGGAAGAACAGATACACCTGGATAAATAAGACTGGATGGATGTTTTGATACCACCACCACCCCTAACCAATTCCACACAAATTCAACATGATGATGTGAGTAATTGATATACAAAATGGTTGACGTATGTTACGTATTTAAAATAACTAGTACTTATTCATATTTATCGTTACAAGGACTGAATCATTTGTGAAGTTCTGTGACTTTTATCTGTCACAAATAATGTGAATCTACACCAGATGCCCAGAGACTCCTCAATGAGCTTCCATTCAGCACAGCAGCGGCATTTGGTATGAGCTCAGTGTTTTTGTCCTTGGCTGTACCTTTGAGATTGAGTCAGAGCGACCAGCGCTGCTGTAACTGACACTGGCTATCTGTGTCCAGCATCTCCACTACCAGCCGCCAAGCCCTCTTCCCCGCCCCCAGCCTCCCTTCTGCCCTCGGGCCCTGCTCGGCCTGCCACGTCTCCAGAGATGCCACATTCATTATTTACACCCAGGGTTTCTCAGGCCCCAGGGCAGGGGCTGACCTACCTCATTTGGTCTCTGCCCCCCCTGGCTTCTGTGACACATACATTAGCCCACAGTCATATATGCATAAGTAAACACACAGATTGTAAGTGAGTAATAAATGACTTGTTCGCTTGCTCTAGGCTCAGACAGCTACACAGATAAAACTGAAGGGTTTTACACTGAAGGCATTTTGGCTAAAAAAAAGCCAAAAAAAAAAAAAAATCCACCCCACAATGTACACTGTGATAGTCACTTCACACTCTATTTTCTATGCTCTGCATCAAAACACTTTCTTTGAAGATTTAAAGGGAAAACCAAGTGTGTGTGTAAGGCTCCAACAAAACTCCCCAGTTAATTCACACAAAAATAAAATCTGTCCAAATAAACCTATGCAGACGTACCATAGACGACTCCTGTCAACTTGGCTCCACAATAGATATTTTTCTATGTTTAATGTGACAGCGTCGAAGCGGCTTTGATATTTTTCTGCTCGGCAGAGTTTCCAGCATGCCAGTGTGCAACAAGGGAACCCAGAGGTCCATCATGTTAGATTTGGCTCTTGTGCTCTTATCTGGCTGTTTCTATTGTTGAAATGCATCAGTATCTTTCCCTGGTGTGCAGTTGTTTTTGCCCCCAAAAAATCTGTTTTTCTGCACGCAGCTGAGTTGGTATTATTTGCTAATCCCACACACCGCATATGAACAAACAAGCTTTTATTTACAAGGTAAACTGTACCGTGAGTTTTCCTTCCAGAGATTCTGTCTCAAACATGGAAGGCAGCAGCTTTGTTATCCAAAATATAATGTAACTTTTACGATGATGAAACTTTAGTCAAGAACATTTCAACTATTATATCACCTGTATAACTTTGATGTTGGTAGCTCAGTGTTAAGCACTGTTGGCTCCATGTTGGTGTACATTTCAGTCCAAAGACATGCAAGCCAGGTGGTTTTGGAGAGCATAGGTATAAAGTGAGCATCTGCGTCTATAAAACACCCTGGGAAAGTTGCCAGTCTACCACAGCCAGTCTTTTTTCCTCTGCCTTCTCCACAGTGCATGCTGGGATAGGTTTAACCACCCCGTGACCCTGAATAGAAATAAACGGGTAAATATAATAGAAAATGCAGCCTTTTTAAATTTCATTGGGGACAATACTGTAGAGTGTAAAGATAATTTCTTTTTTGTACTTGAAAGAGATTAAACACGATGGTCACATTAAGTCAAGTTTATTTGTATGGCCATTAGAAGCCCTTAATCACAGCTACAGTCTCAAAGTGCTCCAGAAGACTTCATCAATCCCACATTATGAAACATAAAATTAGACTGAATGAATCGGCTGCCCTCTATCCTAAGACCCTCGCTGAGAGAAAGGAGAAAAAACTCCATGAAAAGGAATTGGAACCGGTGACTCATCGGAGCATGCAGTGTGTCTCAGACGAGCCTCACAAGGGCAATGTGTTGCTTTCACTTTCCTTTGTGTACTCACATTCCCTCCGTCTCTCTTCATCTCTGTCTCCAGGTGCAGCAGGATGCAGGGAGCACTGCCTGTGTGTGGACTGCAGCCCCTGCTGGCCCTCCTTCTGCTTCAAACTGCGGGCTGCGGTGAGTCCTCATTAAACTGTGGGCAGTCCCCGTCATCTGACCTGCTGTGTATGCAGTGCATTACTCCATATAATCAAATGCACACACAAACCTTTTGCCAATGTCTCGTTTTTTTTACCAGTTGAAATGGAGCCTGTGAATATTTCCTGGCCTTATTATCTCTGATATATTCTATGTGCAGTCAGTGTGTGTCACATGATCCATAGGAGAAAGTTGATCCCCTTCAGAATACCCTCTGTAGGTCAACACTGTGAGTTTGGACCACCTCCTGTCACAAACTAACTTCAGTGTACAGCATGTGATAAATGAGGTCCCCAGTGCAATTAAACTAGGATGAATATATCTGCTTAAAAACCTGGTTGTAGAGCATGGAGGGAAGCAGGGGGACTAGATGAGAGGCAGAGTGATGTGTGATAAAGGTAATCAAGCATGTCCTTCCAATCAAAGATAAGCAAAACCCACATCACCTCCAGGACGCCAAACAGCACGTAATCACTCTCTTTCATACTCCCAGCCAAGAACTGTTAAGAATGAAACCAGTGATGTAGCATCTTGTGAAAGCTCGCTCCAACTATTGTATATGTGCAGAACAAGTCAAGTCTCAGGTTGGCGTTTTCATGTTCTGTATAATTTTTAGAGGTCAAACTAGTATAACGAACAATGTTATTGTAAGACGAATGTGTTTCATTTGGGCTACATGCCAAAACATGTTGGACTCTTAACCCTATGGGCCCGAACAACGCATAGTGTGTCCAAATTCACACCTGTTCTTCTCTATTGATTTTCTCCGTGACCGTGCGTCATAGCGAGAAGCCACGCATATCATGTGAAACAGCGGAATCGTAGCTTTCCAACTTCCGAGCACTTGTTGTTAGTCCAATGTTTTCACAGTGAAAAAGAATGATAAAGTTACACTAAAATTATGTATAACAGAGCTTTCATACAGCTTTGCACACACATTACTCTTGGATGGATTACTCGCGAATGCAAGCTCGCATATCACATATGCATATCACATGAAAGCACAGGACTAGAGCTTTCCAGTGATACCACACACATCATTGTGCTGTCATCCCATCATATAAATCCAGATCAATTGTCTACAAAATAAAAACGTGACAAATTTCTTTACAGCCCATTATACAGATCTTGTTATCAGTCACTTCATATAGTGAGGAATATCGTATCTTACCACGTCTTAGGCTTGTGTGTGTTTCTCCCTGTCTATCCACATTTGTAGTCCAGCTTTCAAGATGCAAATATCTCCATATTGTCCAGTTGACACTCCATCAGACTTTGTATGTCAAAACCAGTCAACTGCAGCTTAATTATGCATGCTGACAGGGCCGTAGTCACCATATACATTGAGGGGGACATGTGCCCCCCCCCCAGTGCCCTTTTTTTTTTTTTTTACTGCAAACAAAGTGGCAAATATTATCTTGGAGGACATCATTGCACTTGGTTGACTATTTTTCTATTATCTTAGATGTAAATATTGCATGTTTCTTTCAGATAAAACACATTTTTGACTTGTGAATGAGTCAATGGAATTTCTTGCAATAATGAAAAAATACTGGCAATCATGTCCGCCTGGCACAAACCACATGACAGCTGTGAAGTGATAGAATGTCCCACCATCATGGTTCTTATATTGCCAGATTCCAGAGAGTCTCCCCTCTTCAGATATGGCAGAATATGTCATGCTATGTGAGATACATGTAAAAATGTAAGAATTTAGGCACACGGATTTGTTTTTTCATTGATAAAAAATAATATAAAATACAGGCACATAGAAGGACATGAAAAAAACAAGATATAGCATGTGTATGTAGCCTTTATAATGACTGTGATATGAGCTTAAATGTAAAGGCAGTAAAAATACCCCAAAAACGCCTAGGGCCCATAGGGTTAATTAAGTTGCTGCTCTAGGTTTTTTTGGTGGCATAGTGATGCAGTGGTTAGCATTGTCGCCTCACAGCAAGAGGGTTTCTGTTTCGAACCATGGGGTTGGGGGGTGGGGGAGCCCTTCTGTGCGGAGTTTGCATGTTCTCCCTGTGTCAGTGTGGGTTTTCTCCAGGTACTCCAGCTTCCTCCCACAGTCCAAAGACATGCAGGTTAATTGATGACTCTAAATTGTCCGTAGGTGTGAATGTGAGTGTGAATGGTTGTCTGTCTCTATGTGTCAGCCCTGTGATAGTCTGGTGACCTGTCCAGGGTGTACCCTGCCTCTCCAGCTCCCCCGCGACCCCCACATCATGTTATGCTTCACTAGGTTCTATCTTCACATGATTTCATTTCAGTATTAGAGGAACAAAGGGGTAAAATGATCCATTATTTCACAAGAAGCAAAGATTATAAAAATCCAAAGGCCTGGCCCCTAGTTCAGGACTGAACTAGCAAACTGTACACAAAGTAATCTTAAGCGCTAAATCGTAGGCAACTGGACTTGCTTGAGTTTCTTGAAAACGTTTTACCTCTCATCCAAGAGGCTTCTTCAGTTCTAAAGCCTCTAAACTGAAGAAGCCTCTTGGATGAGAGGTGAAACGTTTTCAAGAAACTCAAGCGAGTCCAGTTGCCTATGATATAGCACATAAGATTACCATGACCTGGATGACTACGAATCTTCACTAACATGTGTACAAAGCAGTTAAAACTAGTTCCACCTGGACCAGCTGCAACAGTAAAATGCTACTTACACATTGATGCATCAGTACTAACTTTTTTTTTTTCATTACTCATGATAATATATTAGACACAGTGGCAAATCTTCTACAGACTGAGTGGATAATTTTTTTGCACTCTTATTTAAGTAGGATTTATAATGCAGGACTTTTGCATTGCAAGTTTTGACAGTTTTGTATTGGTACTTTTACTTAAGCAAAGGATCCTTGTCCTTTTTCCTTCACTGCAAGTTAACGACTTTTGTGGAATTTTCTCATGCCCGTCTTTGGCACAATTACAACTCACACACCGGCTATAACTACAAAGCCAACTTGTGGGAAACCAGTCTCTGAGCCCACTAGCTATCGCTCTGATTGTGATAAAGCCTCTGTGGGTGAGGGCCAATATTTCAGACTAATCTGGTGTAGCTAGCGGATATCTGAGCCAAGACTTCCTCTTTTGTGCGTTGGTCATTTTGACTAACCTCTGAAAAACACATATCTGCATATTAATGATGATTGATAATTAAAAAAAAAAAAAAAGTAAAGCTATCTCTCCGTCACACATAGCTCATGGGTTCAGAGATTGCATCTCGGCCAATGCGTTCCGCCTCTCCACAAGGATCTTTTAACTGCTATTAGAAAATGATTGGTCAAAATTTCTTGGACTACAAATGGAAACTAGAACCAACATCTTGCCCTGGTGCCTCACAGAATCTGTTTATAGAGATTAATGGAAAACAAATAAGTGTTTATGAGTGAGTGACAGTCAGGTTAGTAAGATAAATATCTGACCTCTCCACAAATGAATGGTCCCAATTCATAATGGACAGCCTTCAGCAGCAGTCTGTAATGGCATTAGAATAACTTAATAGATCTCCTTGTTGACATTTTCTTTGTCTGTCACTCTGCCCCTTCCTTTCTGTTTCTCTCCATAACAGTGTTCATATCTTAAGCACTTGGCAGACCTTCACAGCTTAGCAGCTAGCCCACTTATTCCTCCCGTTTCATCTGCTTATAATTACCCCAACTGCACTTCCAAGCAGGGGCGAGGAGATGAGATGTAAAGGAGAAAAACAAATCTGAGATCTCCAAAGCTCACATTCATCCTCTTAGTCATTTCTAAGAGGGGGAAACGATTTTGATATTTTGTTAAATCTCCGAGATATTTATTTCTAATATGTATTTGCAGAGCTCATTAAAATTCGCTTTGATCCGGCCAAAAAGCCGGAGTTTAGGATCTTAATCCTCTCGTTATATGTCAGCAAGTTATCCAAACTCTGGAGAGAGACTTGACATTTCGCATTTGTTTGGGTAATCATTTTACTGACTTTTTAAAACCCATGATTTTGCTGAGAGGAGGACAGGGAAACATGTAAAGGGTTTATGAAAAGGAAGTAATAGAGGCTTCCGTGTGATACAGCGACTTACACAGAAACTTATGTGAAACTCTGAGTCATTTATCTATCTGTATGTCTGCTCTGACCGCTCAACAGCCTCCCTATCTGTCTATTTGGCAGTTTTATCTGTCTATTCCACAGAGCTCTGCAGGGAAGAGTTTGCAACACAAGCATCCACATCCCTGAGTCCTTCTTTGCCCTCTCTATACTCTCCTTGTACTCCCCTGCTGTATATCTGTGTGTAGATGCATGTGCTTGTGCGTACATAGCACAGACTGCACGCCCCCTCAGTGCTCTCTGTGGCCTCCCAGACCGTCTGCTCCTCACTTTATTGTATTGTTTTTTGCCTTCTGTGGAGGTAACGGACCTGGCATCGGGGTCTTTCTGTGACTCAGGGCTCACATTCGCAGGCCCAGTGATGATGAAAATGGAGCCAACTCCTCTGTCTTTCTGTGTGTGTATATGTTGGTGCAGAAAAACCCTCAGGTTACATCTGCCAGGTAGTTTATGCAGCCAACTTGCTGCCCCCCCCCCCCCCCCCCCC